TCTGCATCGTCCCCTCCCCAGCCGCCTCTCCCCGCAGGGCAGCCGGGGTCCGCTCCCTGGCTTCCCCGGGCGCTGCCACCACCACGGGCACACGGACACCCGCGGCCATTCCCGGGGGACAGAGAAGGGAAATCTGTCGCAGAGATCGGTCGGCCAGCGGGAGGATCTCCCCCGGGAAGCGGTGGAGTCCCCAGCGCTGGACAGGGTGGTGGGCCAGCTCCTCCAGGTGGGGCTTCCACCAGGAAAAGTTGGACTAGGTGATCCGTGAGGCCCCTTCCAACCCGGGATTCTGTGGTAGCATTGGGGGCGCAGCAAACTCCTGGGAGAAGGCAGTAAAGGGGCAGAAGCAGGGAGGTGAGACAACGAATACCACCCGTGCCCGTGTCTGAGGCGGCACAGCAGGCACAGGCCCTCGGGGATGGCGGTGGGGAGTGTTCCCTGTGAGCACAGCGAGGAGAAGCTGGGCGCAGGGAGGCCAGGGCTGGGTGAGCAATGCAGCAAACTGCTCTTGCTGGCTGTGTGCTAAATAAGGTCTCTGTAAAAAAACAGGGAGCAGGTGAGTTACAGCTCTAGCACCTTTGGTAAAACCTATACTTAGAAAATGGAAAATCCCAGGAGTATCCAAGTTACTCCAGAGTATATCCACCAGTTAGCTGGCAAAAATGCCTGCTCTGAAGGACTTACAGAGCAAGACCCATTCAAAGCTATGTACTTCCAGCTAGCAACAATGGAAAAAAACCCAAACCCTATTTAGGTGCCAGTTGATGAGAAGATTCACGTAAGACAAAAAGCAAGAAGGCAGGCTTGTCCAGAAAGGTCACTTTATTGGAAAAACCTAAAATGGACTTAAAACCTGCAGCCCTCCTCCCACAGCAGTGGTTTCAACGGGCTCCCCAAATCACCTTAACAGACCCATTACAGACATGAGCTGCAGTACAAACGTTAAAAGTGCAAGTATTCTGAACTTCACACCCACTTTTATGACCTGGCAGGAAACACAAATGCTTCACAGCTCACACAGAATTCGTTCACAGCACTTGGGAGCCCAGATTGGCTCCCTGCATTCCCCACAGGGCACAAAATACACCACTCGGAGGAGAGTCCGATGCAGAACATCATAGAAGGTAGGGGTGAGGTTCCTTCAGATTTTTTATTGCAGTAAAACCTCTAAAAGGTAGAGCTGTACAAAAAGTCTAAACAGCATTATTTAAGAATAACAGCACCTTACGCTGCATTTGTTCTTATTTAAAATTCTATTTCCCAAAAAATACATTCCTAAATATACAAACTATACAATCTTGTCACTTTAATGCTGGTTTCTGTGATGATATAACTTGAACCTAAAAATCTTCAAAACACCCACGTACTGACAAAAGCTCTAATATACAAATGCCTCGGTACCTTCATAATAGCACATAAATAGCTTCAGAGCTGCGGCTGCGTTGGAGGAACGGCCCAGCACTGGCACCCTGGGGGTGCTCACACGTCGTCCGCGGAGAGGGCGGGCACGCTCATCCTCGGCCGCGTGAAAAACGCCATCTTCTCTCTGAAATGAGGCGACCAGTTAACGCAGCAGACGTCTTGCCAGAAACGTCCATCACCCACAGTAAAATTTATCCCACCAGCTGTCACCACAAGGAGCAGCAGCACATCCTCCCACGACCTACACCTCTTTTTTACACATCAGACATGAGGCATCCTTGCAGGGGAACTCACCACGCTGACCTTGCCAGAAAGCCAGTTTGGAAACGGTCGGGTTTTTGGCTTTCTAGGCACGTTACTTAGGGAAGCCAAGGGCTGCTTCTGTATGAAACAAAGGACTTGTGACGCTGTTGTCAGGTGGGCAGTGATTTGGGGTGCTGCTGCTTGCTTTGAGATCAGGGCAGTGCTGCAGCTAGTTTCCCTGACTCTCGGACCTTACACTCGGATATAAAAAGACAGAAGTTTTTCCTTAAGCAGACCAGTTAACAACTTCTACAGAGATGAGCCTTCCTCACCACCGTCTTACTGATCCACAAAAACCCACATGGTAGCAGTCAATCTTTCCTCCCCTTTAGCAGCAACCTGTAATTACCTGAATGATTGTACTTCCAGAGGCTCCTTCCGACTCTGCCCTCGCAGCCTGTGGACATCCTTGGCAGCAGCTCTCATCATCTTATCGGCCTTGAGCTCACACTTGTGTTCTGTTTTTTCCACCTAAAAAAAAATGGAGAAGAGTTGAGACATTTCTGAAGCTTTTCCTACTTTATCAATAAATACATTCTTTTTGAAGCTAATGATTTCTTTCTAAACCTTCTCCAGAAAAAGTTAATGTAATAAAAGACAAGTTTCATAAGCAAACTAAAGCAAAATAAACTGTTTAATGAACTGTTTGTTGAAATTTGTGGCAATTAGTTCTCTCTCCTCTCCATGGGGAAGAGGAGTGGCCCTGCAGTCCACGGCCCTGCAGTCCACCCTTCATAAGCAGGAAGATGGACACTGTTAAGCTCTTAAAGCCAGGAAGTCTGTCACCTGACTTTTGTTATTATTCCACATGCATAAGGATCCTATTCTAAAGCCAAGTGTCATCCATGCACGAGTTTCATGAGGCCATTATTTCTCTTAGAAGCAGCAGGAGACAACTGCTGCCTTCCTAACCCTCGTATCTGTAGGAAGGCAGGCACGGACTGTGCCCTTTGGGCCAGGTCCAGAGGAGGCCACAACAATGATCCGAGGGTTGCAGCACCTCTGCTGGGAGGCCAGGCTGAGAGAGCTGGGGTGGCTCAGCCTGGAGGAGGGGAGGCTCCAGGGAGACCTTCTGGTGGCCTTTCACTGTCTGAAGGGGCCCTGTCAGAAAGATGGGAATAGTCTTTTTAGCAGGGTCTGTCGTGACAGGACAAGAAGTGATGGTTTTAAATGAAATGAGGGAAGATTCAGACTAGATACAAGGAAGACATTTTTTGCAACAAAGTGAGCCCCTGGCCCAGGTTGCCCAGAGAAGTGGTCAATGCCCCATCCCTGGAGACACTCCTGGTCAGATTGGCCGGGGCTCTGAGCAACCTGCTCAAGTTGCAGATGTCCCTGCTCCCTTCTGGGGGTTGGACTGGATGACCTCTAAAGGTTCCTTCCAACCCAAAACAGTCTGTGACTCTATTCTATGATTCTAGATCTACAGCACACCTGAGAATAGCCAGACATTCGAGGACTGCAGCGTCCATTGTCAATCGCTTGCTTGGTGGAGCCCTAAGTGGAAGACATGAGTGACTGTAGTGCTAAGGTTTCATCTCCTGACTGTCCAAAGTTCCCTCTTTCTCAAATCACGTTTCTCAAACACGGTGAATAAAATCCAAAGGCAGGGATTACTCACTCGTTTTTCCACTAGCCTCAGCAGCAGTCGAAACCTCTCATCATCCTTCACCCACTGCGGCAACTCTTTTTCACCCTGGCTTTGAGCTTGTTCCAGCCGTTCCTTCAGTTCTCTCAGTGCTGAGATCTCCTGAACCAGCCGGTCGTGCCAGGTTTTTGAAGCTTGCAGGTCCAGCTCCAGGTCCAGTGAAGTGCGGATCAGGCGCTCGGCACCGAAAGACTTGATCGAAGGCTGGAAAATAAGGGGTGGATGGAAACAGTGAAGGGAACTGCCCCAACCACTCTGCCAGGAAGGGCCAAATACATCCCGAGACCCATTTTTCCAACACGTCTCTTTGCACAAAGCATCGCTATTGATCATGCTTTCCATCCATCTCAACTCACAACTGCACAAACCCAAGCAAGTCTTAGAGATAAGCCTTTTGATTTCAGTGTTTCCACTACATTTCTTTCTTGGCCGCTTCTCCAAATCAAACAGGCCTCGCTTGCACACCTTGCTCCTAAGTTTAATGCCTCATATTCAGATGAAACCACAATGCAGCAGAAAAACCTGTGTCTGTTTTTTCCAGTAATGTATTTATGTTGCCTTCTGCCAGTTTCTAACAGAAGCTGCCTCAAGAAAACCATCTCCTTAGGAGCTCAGCATCAGTATCCCAATGGGCACAGGGCTCCTTGTGTGCCATGGAGTCACTGCAACAGGGTCACCTGAGCATCTGAGACATCAGTCTCCTCACCCTCTTTGCCAGCTCCTCACATTTATTGTAAGTACTTCAGAATCTCACAAACAATGCAGCAAAGCTGTCTGTGCTACTTCTGTTCTGACAAGATGGCAAATACCAGGCATCATCTTCTTAAATGGATTGTTCTAAATGAGTTCCAACCTAACCATTCCTGCCACATTCTGACACACCAAAGAAAAGTAGCCTTGAGAGACTTCTCACAACAAAGAAAAGGTTGAGAATGAAAGAACACAGCAACTGATTTATGTTTGTAAATTCTTCCTTTAAAACAGTTTCACAGTTTTCACAAGTGTCTATGCTAGAGGGAAAAAATGCAGTGATGTTTTTACCCGCTTCACTCTGACGCTTCGTCTCTCCATGGCGTTTCGAACAAAGGGGGGCTTTTTGGAGAGCGTTGAACTGTCACTGTCACTCCGATTCAGCTGGAAATGAAAGTGAAAATCACAGATTTGTCATCAAAGAAATACAACCAGTGCATACACGTTACTAGCAAACTCAGAGGGCTCTGTAAGCAATTCTAAGCAGAGATATAAGCAGAACTATCGGGTTTTGTGGAAGGCTACAGCTGCCAGTTGCCACCCCAGTCTGAGTGCACAACATGCAATCCATTTGGCACGGCCAGATCCTTCCACAAGCCTTGAACTCTGTCCCTTTCTGGGAACAGAGTGCATGGAAAGAGCTGCACTAAGTTAAGGTAGAATATGAGACCGTACCCCACTGCCTTTCCCCTGTGCAACTAGGCTGGGGAAACCAGCCTAGAAAACAAACTTTAAGTAATACCAAAAAATTTACTCTCTTCTAGCACCTGTAAAACACACAACTATTTTATTAGAGATTTTTTTTTTCTCTAGTTACCTGTGTTTTAAGCTAGTGGTGCAAGAGGTAGGTTTACCTGTAAGCTATCCCCCTGGGTTTTTCAACTTAGGACTTGTCATGTTACACACATTCAGCACGCCTGCTTTTGTGATTGTCCCTAGACCCTTAAAAAGAGCTCAACTCCAGTAGGGTTTAATTCCCTTCTCATGTTCCTTCTCAAGGCTGGGAGCTGTGGGGAGCGAGTGTTGGATCTGCATGTGCTGGGACACAGTACCTCCACCACCTAAGCACAGGCCACTGCTGCAGATTAAATTAGGTTTGTTTCTATGGAAGCACCTGCTTCTGAATCTGAGAAAACCTGCACATCAAACCTGGCTCAGCTGTACCAAGAGCATGCCCACTTAAAACAGGTCACGCGTGATAAAATGCAGTGCTTGCTTGTTTGCCAATTCAATTTAAAAGATGAGTTATTTATAGGTTGGGCTGATGCCTGAAATAATTGTGAACAAACATTTCAAGGCAGTGGAAGTGACATCCTGACCAAGTATGCAGCCTGCTCAGTTACCTTCAGACAAAGCACGCTGGAGACTTTCAAGCTTCCATGATTTTTTTGCTGACATTATCAGGTACATTATCTTTCCATTTCTATCAAGCTTTCATGTTAATTTCATCTAAAATTAAGTGGACACAGCTAACTCAGTTCAAGTTAGCACAGAACAGACTTAAAGCAGTAGAAAAGGGTTTGATATGCAGCTTATTCATCTCTGCCTTACAGCAGCCTTTCTGGGTTAGTTTTGGCATCTCAACATGCTGCATGTACCACAAACACACGTGCACATATATATTTTATAAATTTGTGCGTAATATTATCAGTTTCAAGGAAAGACACTGTCTAGGAGGTGAGGACATAGCAACTTCTGAAGTCAAAGGGGTAGGGAAGAAAGCAGTGTCAGGCCTCTGAAAAATCCAGACGAAGTGAACACTGCTACCATGCACTCACTAATGAATACCAGCATTTATAACCCCAGCACTGTGTTTTCCTTACCCGGCACACGTACTGACTTTGTGGTCCTGGTGAAAATGTTTTTGAGCGGATGATAGTGCTGCCTCTGACAAACTGGGACTGGGGTGGATTTGCAGCTCTTTTGTCTTTCGGCCGAACTACAGTAGAAGGCTGTGCAAGGCTCTCTGTGTTTGTCTCTTTATCCACCTGAAAGACAGATACTGCAGTGTAAATACCAGCTTGCCAGCTTACCAACGACACATCCCCAGGGCTGTCTGACAGCCACCTGTGATACGTCTCTGCTTTCAGTCCCAGAGGCATCACTTTCAAAACCAGATATTCTTTAGCCCTTTTCATGCAGGACATCCTGACACTTCACTTTTTGAACTCAGTGGCTGCTGCATTAACTGTATTGCTCCCTAAAGGGCTCCACATCCATTGATTGCTGTGCAACAATTGATTCCAGAGAGCTTTGCCTGTTGATCTAGGACAGCAATGTGAGCTGCTAATCTCACACAGAACAGAGGTATGATTTTAAAGACCATTCCCTTGCTTGTTCTGCATCTGCAGCAAAGATCCAAATCGCTGTATGTACACACACGGAGAGCACGTGTACAGCACACACTTACTGGACTACAGCTACACTCAGAATTAAACAAGGTCAAAGCCACTGTCACATTAATGAAAACAGTTTTCGTGAGCTGCAAAAAGAAGGTGTGAAACAATGCTCTATTAACTGTGGGACCAAATGGTCATGTAGTGTTATTTTAAAAGATTTCAGGTAGATCAACATTTAAATATCAATGATGAACTTTCAAATAACTGCTGTAACCTTGCTCAGCTCAATAGCAACCTAGTCTCAGCTGAGCAAAGGGAAGCTGAATTCATCTTTGTGTTCAAAATGCCCTTGACTTTACCTTCACTGCTATTTCCATGTGCAGCTGGGAATTCAGACTTTCTTCTGTTTCCCACAGCGATTTTCCAGCACAGAATTCTTCCTCCTCCTCCTCCGCTTCATTTTCACTGATCTCGTCCTGTTCTTCGTGGTCAGGAACCTCTTCGTCCTGCCTGTTAAGAACATCTTTGTTACTGAGCTGCCCTATTGTGAACAATACTCTGGTGTTGCCGCATGAGTTAGCTCCTGTAAGCTGCTGGACAGGAACTGGGCAGCCAGTTGTACCTGGCAGGTCCTGTAGCCACTGAGATGACACAAACACAGGCTTATGAGGGGATAGTTGAAGCTGGAGTGAAGCTGCAGCAGAAGGCCATCGTTGCAGTAGATACTGATCTTGACCCAGAGAAGCAAGTTGAGGGCTCAGCCATGTGGTCTGAGCTTAAGGTGAGTGCATCTTAAGGGGAGCTTTCAGGATGCTGTTTATCTTAGTTTAAAAAGTGATGCTGGACAAGACTGAAGCATTGCTTTAACCACCTTTTCAGCTCCTTTGAACTCACAGCTGGCTTCTCCATCAACCACAGTCAAGCTTGCTGTTTATTCCAGATGTTGGACATCATTAATAAAATCTTAATCTCAAACATGTAAACAACAGCCAAAATTAATATTCAAGCAAAGCCTTGCCCCATACAGTGGGGCTTTCATGGCTGTCCAACAGAACATTGTGCAAGTAACCAAAATAGCATAGCACTATTGACTATTTTCAACATTTATCAGCTTTGTTCTCGTTTCCCAAGCACGACCTTCAGAAGTAACAGGATTTTTCACCAAAACAGAAAGAGACAGAAGCAGCCTCCCACAGCCCTGCATCATCTGCTTTTTTTCTCTGCACATGAATCCCCAAATGCTCTGATCATCCCACAGTGCTAACATGGTGGAATGCTACCTACCAGCTCTCTCCACTAGTTAAAGTGCTTCTGCTTTCCTCCAGTTTCTTCTCCACAGCTTCCAGTTCGACAGCTGTCTGCTCTAGGAGTGCTGAGACAGAGTCCTGAGGAGAGCAAGAGGCTTCTTGTGAAGGCAGGACTCTGGCACGCTGCCAGGCGCCCAGTCTTTCTGGTCAGAACATCCCTCACCAGCCTTCCTCGGGAGGCAGGAGAGAGTCATGGTCTCTCCACCTGCACTGTCCAAGCAGCCGAGGGCACATTGAGTGCTCACTCAAGCCTGTGAGCCTCCCTGTGCCCCCCAAGTGACACCATACACGCGTGCAGCTACGGGCTGGGCAGATTGCGTGCCGTGCACGTGCAGTGCCAAGTCTGTGTCTTGACTCGCTCAGCCAGCTCACTGCAGCAGGGTGGGCAGTCTAGTGGGATGAAAGGCAAGAGCTCACACATCACTTACACCAGACCACATCCCTCAGCTTGGCGAGGAGTAGACTGCAGCCAGGATTTAGCCCAGGACAAGGGCGTATCTGGAATCGACATGTTCATTATTTTGCTGCACTTGACATTTTCGAGTTCTAAATATAAACACAGCAGCCTTCACTTCTCATCTATGGTAACAGTCCTTCAGCCACACAAACCCTCTCATTAGTACTGTTCAGAAGAGACTGGTTTGATTTAAGCAGTTGTTCTTACTGTTTTTTCAGTGCAGGGTACTTCAGAGTGAATGTTTCCTTGTTTACTCTTCCTGTTTTGCTTCTGCAGATACTTATAACTAAGGAGGTTATACCAACGGGTTGATTTCTCTCCGGATCTACAGATTTCAGCAAGGCTAATTTGTGCTCCACCCTATTGAGAGCAAAACCACAGTTTTAGTGTGCTACTAGAACGAACGACTACCATACCAATAATATTAAAAAAAAAAAAAAAAAAAAAAAAGAGGGAAAATACAGGACTATTGCATGTTTGACAAAAAGAAAAATTGCCTTGTTTATCCCCATTTCAACAGCACTAGTAATGTTTTATGTTTAACTATTTTTAATGTTGTCTAGGGCTTCCAATCCAAGTAGCAAGTGTTTTGCTACTGCTCCTGTGTACAAGAATCCAAAAGTATGAACAGTGCTACTGCAGCCAGGATAAGTTGCAGCCAGGATAAGTTACAGCTAGAGCTCCAAAAAAAAAAAAAGAGAAAGGAACAGGAGAGGAGAACTCCCCTTTAAAAATTTGCAAGGCTGACAAAAATCACTGCCTCAGGCTGAGATGCTTTAGCTCTGTGTATTCCATTCTGCCTTGTCATTTTTTACTGCATCACATTTAGTACACATCCTGATGTATTCAAAACCAAAGTAAAACTGGTTCACAGTTTATTCAATCCGTGTCCAATGCACATGGACTCCATTGCACCAGCCCAGCTGACTGGATGCTGAGCACAGCTCCCTGCAGGTGACCGTGCTCCCACCTGGAGCTTGGGTACTGGAGGCCTGCACATGCTGCTCAAAGAGCAGAACCCCATTTGGAAGACAGATGTTTTCCTGAACCAAAGCAAATGAAGGAAGAAATGCAGAAACATCAGAAAACATGGACCCCTCCAGCCAAGGCAGATGCTATGGAACATGTGCAGGACAAATGAACTTTTCTGTAACTTAATGGTTGCTTATGTCTCAGCTCAACACACCTTACTCACATTTTGGAGTACAATATGCCAGAAATAGTCTTATTAAATTAACTTGTTCAGGTAATACTGAGCAACAAAAAAAATCTCTTCAAAGGATAGGGGTCAGCTGGCTATGGCAATACTAGCACTTAAACTATATTCACACATTTTAATAGTGTAGATTAATAGCAGTTTTAAAAAAATAAATCATATAGAGAACTTTATTATTCTGTGGTTGCTTCCAAATTCCTTTAAGTCTATTCTCAACTACATTACAACAAATGTTTCCAAAATTAAGAAAAATAGGTAGGGGTTTCATATTAAATCATCAGAGAAGAGAAATCCAGTAAGTCTTGACAATCACCAGTAGGTCTGTAACAAAACATATATATAATAGACTTTTTTTTCCTGATCAAAATTGTTATTGCAGGGAACACTACCTGTGAGAGATCACATAGCTAAAGATTAACAAGAAAACTTTCACAGAAGTTGCCATACTTCAGAGTTCAAAATTTTATCTAATTCAAAAGAGGAAACAAATGCAAAGATATTAAAACGGAGATCACTACTAACCAAACATTCTTCAAGGTGAGATTTATCTACAGTGCAAACATCGACTCTTAAAGTCTTCTGGCGTAAAGCTGGGTAAGAGATAGAAACCCAAAACACTTCATTGTACACAAGATTGTCTGAAGCTTCCACTGGTCTCGTCCGAAACAAGCAGCTTGTGCTTTCTGAACAGGGCAGGACAGCCACCCGAATGTTCCTATTGAAAGAAGAGTAGCAATCAGTACTGCCATCCAGGTCTGCAGTTCCCCTCCACTGCAAGTGAAATTCATCTTAGGCATGGTGGACATCACTGTCTTATCCTATTCTTTGGAATATGAGGGTGGTGAAACACCACCAGATTTGCCCAGAGGAGTGGCGGAAGCTTCATCCCCAGACAAGTTCAAGGTGAGGCTGGATGGGGCTCTGAGCAACCTGCTCTAATTGGAGATGTCCCTGCTCCCTGCAGCGGGGTTGGACTAGATGACCTTTAAAGGTCCTTTCTCACCCAAACCATCCTATGTTTCTATAATATCAAGTCAACTAAGAAAAAAGGAACATCTCATCACAACATCAGAGACATGAAGTGGCACGAGTTGGTGTAGACTTCATCCTTCTGAATCTTGCAATGGGACATCATGGGATTAAACTTTCCATGGCTGTTTAGAACCGTGCAATTTGTCACACTGCTAACATACCCTTTTGTAGGTAGAAAGAGTGATGCAAAAATGAATCAGCTTTTTGTCAGCTTATAGTTTTTTTTTTAAGTTCATCACACAGCTGAACTTAAAAAAAAAAAAAAAACACAACTGTGCCTAGAATGAGTCTAGTAGAAGCTGTACACTTTCCCACGCACCTGTCTGGGCAGGTGTCCCAGGATGAGCCCTGTAGCAGAATGAACCCCCCCTCCACTCAATGCAGTTGCTCAGGGTACTGCTACAGTTAAGAACTTTGCTGGCTAGAGCTAATTCCAGGCCAGTCACTCCTAGCAAATACAGACCTTTGAGGAAAAAATTGCACCTTATTTTATTTTGAGGGTTTATTTGTTCATAAATGTTGCCACACAAAGCGTAGAAGTATTTCAGAAAGGGTAAATTTTTAAGAGCGTAAAAAAACAAAACCCAACATCTGCTTAATTCCCACTAGAATCTAATACAAATATTTCAAGCATGTTTATTTCATCCACTTACACTTTTTGATCTTGTTGTAACAACAGTGCTGGAACATTGCTCAGCTGGATCACCAGTATCGCGAATCGTTTATTTTTGTCATCATATCTGAATGGTAAAGACATAAAAAGCATTACTTTTAGAGAAGTCCACTTTGCATTTCATGACTATTCCACTTGTTTCATTAACACAAACAACATTAAAAATTCACAAACAAGACTATGGTTGCCGCTAACTCTCAGCAGTTTTCCCTCCCCAAGATGCACACTGAAGGAGACTCCAAGCCCCAAAGGGCTTTCTCCAGCCCAGCACTGTCACTGCTCCCACTGATGGTTTGCACCCTCATACCACACCATCACCAGCTGATTTCCACTGACAAGAAAGAGGACAACTGGGTGCAGGACCTCCTGGAGTTAAGTGTAATCCTCAATTACCCTACAAAGAGGGCATTAGTCATAACACTAACTTATAACAGGATAAACACGATAAGAAAACAGAACAGAAAGCACTCTTTTAAATCCCACATATTCTTTCCACTGGAAGAAAAATCCAATAAAAATGTGTAGTGCTTACCTCATTGCAATTTGCACTTTAGCTGTCCCAACTGCTTCTGTATCATCACTGTCAAACACCATCACTTCTGACACACATGGTCTGAAAGAAATCAAACAATTAAGGACTCCATTTCCCTCTTACTGAAGTGTTAGCATTTAGGTGATATAGGATTTTTCTCCCTCTATTCAGGGGCTGGGTATATGGATTTTGTAAAATTAGCAGCTAAAAGAAAGCCCATTTAAGAAGTAAGTGCAATCATCCTTAGAGGTATGCATTATGGTGCTTATCAGCAGAAAGTCATATGCTTTCCCCCCTTTACTGCCAAGAAAAGCCACACAAAAGACTGCAAAAATAAGGCAGTGGGGGATTTTTAAAGGCTTCCCTTGGCTGGATTTTAGTGAAGACAGCTGACTGCCCAGCAATAGAAATCAGACTTAACAACTGCAGTCCTGTCTTGCATCATGACAGCAAAAATTCTCAAGTTTCATTAGATTTAAATCATTCCTTTGTTTCTTGAAGGAATCAAACTTCCCTAAGCACTTTAGAAGTGACAGAGTACACTGGCTGGTCTTCCCTGAAACAGCTGCCTGCATCATTTCCCTCCCAGTGTACTCCTCTTCTAAAGCTTTATGCACTGAAAGTCCCCAAAACTACATTCAGTGTCTAATTGACTGAGAGGCTGTGCTGGAGGACATGAAAACAGGATTAGCATTCTTCTAAGTGCTTTCTGTATGAGCACTCTCTTGCATTTCATTCCATTCCAGCTACAGAGGACAAACAGGTTGCTCACCTTACGCTCAACATTTGCTAGAGGCACCCAAAGGATCCTGTAGCCATTACAGAGGTAGGTAAGTCAGCAACCCAGACAACACTAAGTGACATCAGACATGCAAGTGTGCAGGGGATGCCTTCTGCCACTCACATGTTATCCCTCCTGCCCCCTCCGGTCCCCTGTCCTGTGGAGGGGACACAAGGGCCCTGAGGCCACAAACGTCCCAACTGCCTGGCTCCAGCCCACAGGGTCTAAAGAAGCACTTTGTTCTCCAAGTGAATTCTGCTGTTAATGTAAAAAAATTGACTCATTTATCTAGAGAATTAATTAAGATAATGAATGAAAGGAGAGTATATGAGATGAGCAACTTTTTATCTTTACAGTTGCGTCTTGCAACAATTCAGCCCCGTAATTCAGCTCAATGCCAATAAAAGCTGCAGGAAAACCCATGTTAGATGCAGCCAAAGCAGGTATCAATACGATCAGTACATTTCAGTGAACTTTTTGTCAGACCACCCCAGATAGCTTTCACAAGCAGTACCAGAGGGGTGCAGAAACCCACTGAGAACCGTGACGCCCAGCTCAGGCTATAAGCTGTGCTCTTAAGAGGAGAAGCCTTCAGAAATCCCACACTGGACCCAAGCCCTCAGGAACTGCATCGCAGCGCATACACATCCATGAGGCAGCTCAAGGTGGTTCTGCCATCTTCCTTAAGCCTCCCAAAGTCCCCTCACGCTGCCTGAGGGCTGTCATTGACACCAGGGCAGCTGACTGGAGAACTTTACACCTCCCAGGTGGCTCTGCTGCCCCCATGAAGGCAGCAGTCACAGCTCTCCAGCACCTGCAGACAGCAGCTGCTCAAAACGTTCTTGGCAATCTAGTTTCAGCTATTTCTATTACAGTAAGCATGGACCACTTTGATAATGAAATTCAAGCTGCTCATAGTTTTTTCAGAAGTATTAAGAAATCTGAAAACTTTAGCCACCAAATTACATAAAAGATCATAACTAGTAGTGTTCCAGCTGACTCCTGTGTGCAAAGATGAGTCTCTGGCTTCTTCCTAGAGAGAGATGTGGTGTCTACCTTTGTACGGACGCCTCATACACCCCGCTATCTCCAGCAACAGATTCATCAGACACTGCAGCTGACACACACGCCACCTTCAGTGCCGGCCCTCCAGCTCCATTTATACCTATCAGAAAAGCACAGAGGAAAAGCAAAAACCGGTGTTAATGAGAACAAACTGGCTGGATCAGGAGCAGCTTTTTGACTCATCCTCCTCTTGAATTGCATTTTTTTCCCCACTCAAGTACTGTTAAGTAACAGCAAGTTTCTGAAGACAGAGGACACAGGTAGGGTGGGCTGTACTCAACAGCAACCGTGAAGTTAGTGCTTCAGGAACTCGCCCAGCTACCCTGCAGAGCCAAAAGCCTTGGAGAAGCAGAGGACCAGCCTGCATGGTGGATGTGAGAGCAGGGCTCCATTGTCAAAATCAATGTCAATGCCCATTTAATACACAGGTCCTGCAGCAGCAGACCCACAAGCTGGTTACACACCATTGGCTTGACTGCATTACAACTGGCTACCCTGGCACCTCCATGGGGACAGGTCCTCACAGGCACTGAGAGGAGAGGCTTTCACAGTACTGGAAAGGCAGGAAGGTACCCAGGACAAGATGGAAGCAGCAGAACCTCTAAATTCTAGTAAAGTTATAAATATGAGTCAGTAGAACAGCACCTACTGCAAGTCCCCCTTAAGCAGGTAGTAGGTCTTCTGGTCCCAGCTACTTAGAGCAGCAGCCAGACAAATGCTACTGACCAAGCTCTGGCCAGGTATGGAATATAAGGAGTCCTGGCTGGAGAGCTTATACCAAGATTATCTTCAAGAAGGAAGAACAGGAAAAAAACCACCACCCGCCAACCCCTGCACCCAGAAGGTTAGCATACACAGGACAGAAGGTAGGTCCAGAAAGACCAGGTTAACTAGCTAAACATGGAAAGAAAGAGAGATTATAGGATTTAAAGTAGCAGCCACATGAAGGAGATAAGGAACAGAAACCAAGGAAGCTGAGGCATGGAGTTTTGCACAGAGGTGTTTTCTCATGTAGAGGTCTTGAGCTGCAAAAGAGTAAAAGATACGCCCTGGAAACCTCTGCAAATTCTGCACCTCTCCACTTGAACCATCACACTTCTGCTGAGTTATACTTCAGCCAAGAGCCTGGAGAACTCTCTCTTCCAAGGTGGCTAATGAGTGCTTGGAGTACCCAGCTCGCCCTCACCATCAGGGCTTTGGTAGACCTGCTGCCAGAGTGAGGAGGTGCCACGTGGTCACACAGGGAGCAGCTATAACCCCACGTGAGAAGTGCACCAATGCACTCCTCTCTAAGGGGCTTTCATCTTTCAGAAGTGGTCTCTCCTTCCCAAAGCCTTAGGAAGACACATGTCCCCAAACCAGTATATGGTTTCTGTCCCATAAAGCTACCTAAAGAACTACAAACAACTTTGAAGAAACACTGTTAAAAAAAAAAAAAGTGTGCAAGCTCAACATTGGGTTAGGGAATGGTATAAGGACTTGTTCTACAATGAGCAGCAGAGGGTGCTACAGGTAACACCAATACATTTGGGTGCACATGCACACTTTGGGCCTATTTATCCATCTGGCTTTTGAGAACACCACTGAAAGGTATTTTTCATCTTGGTATTCCTATGGAACCATTGGACAGAAATGTCCAGATCTTTTCCCTATGGACCAAACCACATGCAAACCAGCTACCATCTGTAACACAATATACCAGTCATTACCTGAGGCAAACGGATCCATTTAACACTGGCATTCAGTTTAATCCATCCTCCCTCCTGTTGTGAGCAAGGGCCTGGCCCCTGCTGCACTCCTATCACAAGCTGTGCTGGAGATATGTGGGCAGGGTCAAAACTATGGTTCTTTTTTCCTCAATGCTGCTTTGTACCTCCTGCCCCATGGTTTTAATAGGAAAATAATTCCTTCCCGGATGTCTGGCTTTCTAGATCAAGTTGTCTGAGGTTTACATGCTGCTCCCAGAAATGCCACCCTGGGAATCCATTTGCATGAGGCTTGCTTACTGGGAAGGACACCACAGGTTGGTCTCCACAGGCTTAACCTCTTTTTCTCCTCCAATTACCAATGCCATCTAGCCATTTCAACCCGGGAAGCCTTCCTGTCCTTTCCAAGGAAACCTTGTGGCCAAGGGGAACAAACAGAATGTACAAAACCCAGCAATGAAGCGGGTACCTGTTTGTACAGCAGAATGCTGAAGTGTAAACCTGTAAAAAAGATGAAGGGTTCCCTGGAAAGGATTCATCATGCAACCATTCCTGGTTTTTCTATCCATTCCAGCGAAATCGCTCAGGTATCTCTCTCAGGTGAGAGATGAAACCTTATTTCAGCCTCAAAGGTAGCAGAGGTTCTGTTCTAACAGAACCAAACCCCAAATCCCTCAGATATATACTGTTCAGCTCTACTTACAGGAACACATGAGCATACTTTGCCCGTGAGGCCAAGTACTGGCACCCTAGATCCAGCCACCACATTTCAGATGTTACACTAAACTCCCCCCAAAGTGCCTGAGGAATAAAATCTCATCTCGTTATTGCCCTGAAATAAACTACTTATGGTGATTATTTTGTCTGCTGACTGGCTAACAGCAATAATCACTTAATCTGCTTACCACCTCAGCTTTCACTTTAACAGCCTTGACAAATCTTGAAGAGCTAAAAGGTTAAAACTAATCAGTGCCCAGTTCTAATAAGAATAATTAGTGTTTCCTACTCAAATGCATAATACTTCTTCCTTGTAGGAAAATGGTAGCTCAGTGGGGAAGATCTGTACTTGTGTCTTTTATTGTATTTTTATTGTATTTTTAAATAGTGCCAGCCTTCTCAATGCAGAAGGCAGTGACAACATAGTGGTGGCTCCTTTTATTCTCATAGGCTGTTTTATAATCCTATGAAAACAATAAACTGCACTGCTGGTCCATACAACTATCGTTTGCAAGCTGGTATTGCCTTCAAAGCTCTTCTTCACTGCAGTTACAAATTCAGTCATTTCACTCATCTCCATTGGATTTAACCCAATGACAGTCACAAGGGCTTCAGACAGGCCTCAGCATGAGTGCCCTGACTGCTGCCTGCTGTTTCCCACCCACTTCAGCCCAGCCATCATCCTCAGAAAGGATGAACCCTTCTCACCCACCAGTAAGCCATATGCATGTATGAGAACATCCACTATCTCTAAATGTCTTATTTTATCATGCTCACAATCTAAACACGTTTTTGTTGCTAAGAGACCATCCCCCTCAAACCAGCAGAAATTCAAGCACAGACTTGACATGTCTGCTCTGCTCAGCTGAAGTGAATAAATTCATTGCCACTGATTTACTGGGAACCAGAGCAAGACATTGTGCATGCTAAAGTGGTGGACAAAGACTTTTATCATCATTTGTTACCTATTAAGCTACATTGCTTTCGCAGCCTTCCTCAAAGACTTGGCCAAAATGTTCACGTCAATATAGCGTTATGTGCCCCCAGACCCAAAACACCAGATGACGTTCTGCATAGTTTAGCGCCAAATTAAACCAGGAATCACAAACCAAGCATTTACATTGGCACATGAAATCCCTGAAATTTGTGTGTATATATAAGTACACTAAACCCACACCTAGGCTGTCTTCTGCAAGACTCATCAGGTGAGCAGTATTTCATGTACAAATTAAAGCCCTTCCACCCAGGCAAGACAGAACACACAGTTGAACACGCTTTTCAAAATAAAGATATCAAGCTGACAGACAGCTTTTGAAATGCTTCCTTCTCAATCCTTTATAAGCTACATAAAAAATAAAGGTATGCGTGTGTATGCAAGTAGTTTGTTACCATACCTTGACCTAGATGTTTATCTCCTGCTCTAGGCTCTTCCAGTCTACAGTTGCCACTCCCAGTGCTTAGGGTGAGTTCTGAGAGATTTGTACTTATCTCTGCATCATCAAAATCCATATGGCTTGAAAAGGCATCACCAGGTAATAGTGGGTCTATCACCAATGGAGAGCAAGGTGGAGATGGAGAGGAGAGAGATGACCTTGGAGATAGTGATGTCATGGATTTTGGAGTACCAGACAATGATCTCAGAGCCTGTACACGACTGCTGGTATCTACTTTGTGAGTTTTTGCTACTTCATTTTCGTGAATCGTGGTGATACAGCCTGATGGCCGAAATCCCGTGGCTCCTTCTAAGAGCAAGTCAAGCTTGTTTTGATAGTCTGAGTCCAACTGCTCCAACTGTTCCAGGTGCTCATAGTAGAGATCAGTGAAACTGGCTGAGGTTGACGAATCTTGGCTGGAGGTGGCAAGAGATCCTCTGCTAGATGCGAGAGAACCTGGGCTGCTGCTCGAGGAGAGGGAAAGCATGCTGGTGGAGAGACTGAAGGAAACAAATTAGAAAACCATTATACATTATCTCCCGATTTCTCAGGAAAACACTGCAGTGTCACCAAATCTCTAAGCCCACGTGGTACACTTTGCTTTGTTAGCTCAGGCCATACGCATTAGTCCTCACACCAACCAGAACCACAGTTTGCCCAGCAGAAAATTTGGGTCACTTGTCAATAAAAATAATAGTTCATACATGCTTTTTTACTCACGGTAGCAACCTCATAAGAGTCCTTGTTTAGACAAAGCTCTAATGCGTAGTTTCAAATAAGTTGAAGTTAGTGGCAACATTCTCCTCCCACATCTCTCTGGAAAAAATCTATGGTTCCTGTTAATCTCCAAAGCAGAGCATAAAAACCAGCAAGGCCCATGCAAGAAGACTGAGTTATTGCAACAAACTGTCTGTCCATATGAAAATTTCCTTCCATTTGCCTCAATCTTGGACCCACAGCCAAAAGGCAATCTCACAGCTGCCTAGAACTGGCCCTCAGAGATCACAACCACCAGCAGTTACCAGAAACCTGGCAGGATTTACCCATGTGAAAGACTGCTACAAGGAATCCCGGGCCAAGAGAGCAATGGAAAGACTCGGGGCTGGGCTGTGAAATCAGTTCACACAAATTATTTATCCCTCGAGATCTAGGTTCAGAACATAACTGACAGCAGAAGTAATTTTAAGCAGATTTTGAGCAGAATTCTGTTCAGATGAGAAAGCACAGGCACCACAGCACACTGCTCAGCTCACAGTGCACAGCTGGGAGCACACAGCTACAAAGACCCAACAAATCCACCCTCCAGTGCTGACTACAACATACCAAATCCCTAGAAATCCCATGTAAACCAACACTCCTGCTCTGGATATTAAACACCTCTCTTGTTAGTGACTGTTTAAAGACCCTTAAACCTCATTTCAGATATAGATTAGCTATTGAAAAATTTCTGCATATGTATAACTGGCTTAAGTTGCCCCACTGAAAAACAGCCAGTATGTTAATAAGCCTAATAATCCCTTATTTATTATTTATGGGGCAAAGGCTAGAAAGCTGCATTTGTATAATTATGACCTTATGAGAAAAAGGCAAGTATGCAGAAATTAGTATAATTTTGGCACAACATGTCTCCTGCATTTGTATGACAGATGTGCACTGCATCACATTTATTCAAAAAAGCTTTTGGATGAGACGTAACTGTAGTATGACAGCTGTTTCTGCATTTTGGCAGCATATACAGATCTGGCGAGGACTATATAAATGTACAGCTTTTCAGTACATTTCACTAAGAAAAGGGAGGGACTTTTAATTAATCTTTTCCCTATCAACAAACTGGGGTCCACTTTGTTTTGTGCATACCTTTAAATGCCAGACACTGTGCATTATGGGGTTAATAGCAAATGCTTTTTCTTACGAAGGAGCATGCCAAGAACACTAGGAACGTAGTTAGGAAGAAATTAGTTTCACATGCTTCTTGGTCACCTCAAAAAATCCCTAATCAGCTAGATGAAATGAAAATATGATGCATTTCCACTGCATAACAGCATCACAGATAACTATTTTCCATGGTGGCTTATTTACATGTCAGTCTTGCACTATGATTTCTTTCCAGTCTTTTCGGTGTCATCTTCACAAAATGAAACAGTATCCAAGTGCAACAGAAGCTACAAACAGAGTAAATTCAGTACACACTGACAGGAAAAACTCTCAAACAAAACCCCCACCAAACTCTCTTCCTAATCAAAAAGCTGAAAATATAGTTTTTGCTGATGATGACTTGGCCTTACACGCATTTGTCTGGAAACAGAAGTAATTCTCTGCTCTTCCAAAACTACAGCCTGAACAACCAGACCACATGACGACTGCAGGAACATTTCTATATACCATATGAACCACAACTGATTCAAGGATATCTCAATACATTGTCTACATTGCAAGCAACAGCACATTCAGAATTAGAGAAATATTATCATAACATTCACACATCAATGTGTGGCTGCATTACTAAGTTTCACTTCACTTGCTGTGTATTAAGCTGTCTTTAACATACTTTATTAATGTAATACTTCATTAATTCAAATCACAGTAAAAAAAAATCTCAGCTATCCTTAGTCACCTAAATGTTACATGTCCAACACAGAAGGGACTGTGCAATACCCTTCTGTTGTCAGACAGAGGCACCACCACAGGGTTATTTATCCCATTTTAAAGCATCCGTCTAAACTGAGTGGGACATAGAATCCTTAAGGCTTCTCTTTCCATTGACTACACAGGGGTCTTAGGCCACTACTTTTAGACCTCTCAGCTGGGAGATGAAATTGTTAGCAGAGAAGGGCACCTACGACTTCTGTAAAAGGGCACGTACCTTTTCAGCTGGGTGTGCAGCATGGCAACCAATCGTGTTGTCTCTTCCAGCTCTCGGACTAACTGATTTCTTTTGCCGTTCAACTTCAACCTAAGAGAAAACAAGAAAAAGATGAGCTAAAGAAGCATTTGCTATTTAAAATAAGGAGTAAAGGAAAATTCTGTTTTGTTTTCTCTGAAATCCTACAAAAGTCAGTGAGAGTAAACAGTAGTGGCAGAACTTGGTCAAGACGTGTGGGTGTTTATCAACATTTAATACTCTTAAATATGGAACTCAAGCCTGCAAACATTCACAACAGAGAAAATAAATACAGCTAGTACTATAAAACTTAATGTTTATAGGATCAGGCCTTAAAAAAAGTCCAGGAGACTTTGGCTCACTATAAACTACTGCTTCCTTATACTTAATAAAGTGGTAGTAAAGGTGTAAATGCTTTCATTTGCTTTTCATAAGGTCTAAGGGTGAACCCTATCTCTTGAACCACAGATATTCCAGGCTGGTAAAAGCCCTGCATCTGAAACATCTAAGATGCCCACGTTTTTTCTAGGATGATAAAGCTATGAAAAGACTATGTAGAGCATTGGTGGTCTGAGCATGTAGAAGAAATTAAAATCTAGAGCCAGAAAGAGTGAATGTAACACACTTATTAACCATATATAGCCAAGAAACTGCAGCTAAAAGTAACATTTCCATAGCCATCCACATTAATACATCCAGACTGTAAAGCACTTGGAGGCAATGCCTAATGCAGTATTCATCCTCACTGTACACTCCCAGGAGATCTCCCCCCACAACACAAGTAAAATTAGGGAGGATAGCTGGCATTTTTGCAGCTAGTTTAGATTCACAGAATATTCCATGCAACTCCTGCAGCCCTGTCAAATACCAGTTCCTACAGGAATCAACATACAAGGATGCTCAGAACAAACAAATTTGAAACATTTAAAATTCCATCTGTTGACATTTACCAAGCTCCAGACTGCACAGCAACTGTAGAAGCTGCTGCGAGGTGCTGGCTGCATACAGAAACAGAGCACACAGACATTATATGGGGCTATTTCAAGGATTTCTTACATTCTCACAGAGGATCCATTTGTTGGAACAACCACCTTCCCCCGCTGGGGAGCAGGACATGCAGGTGGTTTCTTTTGGGAGACAATTTCAGAAACCTTGTAAGCAGATGCAGTCTCCTGGAAATCTGAGGGCACACTGCTATCAGCATTCAGCCAGGGGGTGTTGCTCCTCGCTCCTGGTTACCACCTGCCCAACAAGGCAAGCTCTGTCCTATGCCCAGTGACCTACCTCTCAGTTAGAGCTTTACTCTGAGTGTCTCTAGCAGCCTGGAGGTCTTCCTCCAGGCGCCTTCTCTCTGTCTCCAGTCTCTCCACCTCTCCTCGAGTCCCTTTTCTGGGGCTAATAAATCGCATTTCTTTCAAGAGCTCCTCCTTCTCATTAATTAATATCAGACGGTCCCGCTCAGAGTCCAGCACACCAGGCCAGGCCTCGCTGTCAAGCTTAGCCAGTTGTATCTTCAGGTTTGCTATTCTGCAGCAAAAAAACAAAGCAGTTATTCCACGAGGAGTGTCTGAGCTACTGCTCCAGACACACAAAATGTGCACCACGACCAACCACATCTTCCATTGCCTTGCAGAAGGCTTTCAGCTCAGGGACAAGCACCCTCACGCTCTCCTTAGCAGGGCACTGTCAAGTGATGGCACCGCCAGGAGTTTGACATGCAGAATGGGATTTGTGCTCAGGTTTGCTCCCAGTGGTAAGTCTCTAGCTAACCTGCAGTGTCCACCAGTCAGGGAACAGGTTAACAGAAATTCTGGAGCTCACAAAGAGCTGTCAGATACACTGCAGGGTGTTTCATATGCCTTACAGCTAATGACCTCATAGTACTTCGTGTGGAGAGCATCATGAGGTAAATAGCTTATCTTTAATCAGTTTTATGGAAAAGAACTGTATACTCTCTGTATGTGATTCAAGCAGGCTGATAAAGATCAGCAGTTACATTACTCAAAAGTTCAGAAACAATTTTTGTCTTTACAATGAGGAAGTTAATCATATGCATGCTGCTACTGGAAGAATCCGACTACTGACTCAGCACTAAGCATTCTGGACACGTTTAAGAGTTACCTGGTGCAATGTGTACCTGAGGATGAGAAGAGTCAAAGAGGCAATACAATCCTACCTAAATCCAGAGCCACTTATTTGTGTGAAATTTAAAGTCTATTTTCATTATAGGTATTATTCCAGAATTCAAAGTCTGCATCACTAACCCTTAAGCACCACACATTATCTCAGGCAAGCAGGTGATTAATAAAAGCAGGAGCAATATAGACGGAGAATTCACCAAGAGCTTTGACTGGCAGCAGAGGAGAGCACAGCTCCTAGCAGGTAAGGGGGATGCTCACTCCACCTATCTGCCCATCCCCAGTCTCCTCAGTATCTGAACTGCTTGGTTAGCTCCACAAATGGTCAGCTTTGCAATGCAGCATGCAGAGGAAAGCAAAAAACCACCAGCAGGCCAGGATACAGAACCAAGGGCAATAATGTCAGTCTTGCCAAAGAAAGCTGTCTCCTTTGGACTCACTGACCTACAGCTCTTCATGACCTGGCACAGTGATCATGGTAGTTTGGTGGGAAACAATAGTACAAATGACCTAGTTAGGGATGTCCCTGCCTATTGCAGAGGGGTTGGACTAGATGACCTTTAGAGGTCCCTTCCAACCCAATAAATTCTATAATTCTATGAAATACAGTTGAATAAGAGTTCCCAAGGACTTGCATTTCTGGAGCTCACACAATCAGAAATGATCAAGTAGGGAGCAGGGAATGGGCTGGGCAGAATGGACTGGGTGGAGAAATTATAAAAGCTTAGAAGGCAAACAAGAAGGAAAGGTATCTAGCAATATAAGGCAAGATATTTGCAGTAGTTCACCTGACTGAAGACCAGAGGGTCAAGGCATACGTGGCCCTTCACGCAATTAACTCAGGTTAATCTCTCTCTCAGGTTTAGTAAAGACATGAGAAACAGGAGTGAAACGCTGCACGTGTAAAATGTGCAACTCCCTTTGAAAGGGGCTTTGTGATCCACTGACAGAATGACTGGACTTAAATTTAAGTAAGCTGGCCACTCAGCTGGATTCTTTCCTTCTGGAGGTCGGTTTATGCTAACAAAGTGCACAGGATGGTGCACGCCTACTGCAGCAAAGCAGCACGCTGCAGGACAGAGCAGATCCAACACCAGCTAGCAAAAGCAGAGCATGTGGAGTAAGCAATAAGATGCAGATCTGGCCAGCGGCAGCTACACAGTTGCTGAATGGTCTTGAAGAATAAAGCTTTGTCTTTCAGGCTCCAGAGGCCAAGAGGAACTCGAGCCCCCAGAGAGCCTGTGAAGGATTAGGCTCACACAGACTGATCTGCCTTCTCCATCACAGCAGATAGACCAGAGATCACCTTCCTGAAGTGAAGCCTCAATTTCTGTAAACCCATTTCCCACAGCAGGTTGCTTACTCTAATTAAAGTTCCATAACTGAGAGATATTCAGCTCAACTATTTTTAGGTCTTCTTAGGAGCTGTTTTGTTTTTGACTGCCTGATTAAGTGCAGTACTGTGCTCCAACAAAGAATTAACAGTGGCATTAATTCATAATCCAAGAATTCCTCTGTGCATTTTGAAGGGATATGAGTTTAAGAGGATTGGTGGGCATTAATCTGATCACTTTTGGCATACATTTGCATGGATATGGCTTTTCCACTGGAATTTGTTCTTTATGCATTTCCGAGTCTAACAGCTTTGTTCAACTAACCTCAAATTCTACCCTTCGTAAATGATCATTCTTTTTCCCTTTCTCAGTCCAAAGGAGGTTTATGTATTCTGTTTTTCCAATAAACCAGCATCATTACAAAAGAAATGCTCTGCAGACTGCCTGGTATTTGGCTGCGAACTCCAGCCCTCCAGCATTCACTGGCTGAGCCTGGAGGACATCCCTGCTGAGCCATGCTAGGCTTGCACTGCAAAGAAACCAGCGATACTGGCTCGGGCCATGCCACCTTTCTGAATCACCACTGGCTTGCATGACTGAACAAAACACAGAGCAGGGAGCTCAACTTTTATTTAACCGTTCTCTTTTTAACTTGAAAAGGTACTGAGAAGATTTATTTCTTGTCATAGCAAGTCTCTAGGGGTTTGGGGTTTGTTTTTTTCACTGAGGAAACCTGGTACTTATCTGTGACATAGGCATAACAAGTAGAACTTTAGTCTCTTGGGAGACTGTTCAGACTTCTGCACAGAAGGGCACATTAAGGTGCATATCCACAACCAGTAATCAGCAATCCTGTATCAGATCAGTTCTTTAGAAAAAAAAAATAAATTGAAGTGGGAGGTATGGTCTAAAACCTGACCGCTCATATAGCCACCATTGTTGCAATGCTGCTAAATGTGGCATTAAAATATTCCATCTTAGGAGATTATAAAACATACTTTTAAAATCCTAGCGTTACTACCAGTCACACAAAATCCCAGCTGAAAGTTTAACTGTTGAAGGAGCTAAAACAGTGCACAGACTGCAAATGCCACACAACTGAGTTACTCCTATGGCTGAAATTGTACAACACAACTTAGTTTCATCTCTGATGACAGTTATGCTGCCATAGCTATCTCATTCTTGAGATGCAGCACTTACACCTCTCTTTACATGATACCCATTACCAGTCTCCAATCCAATTAAGCTAAAGGTTTGTCACTGCGGTTGCCCTTTGTTCTTTTTTGCAAGTTTAACGTTATCTGCTGTAGGGGTCTTGTCTCACTGAGCCATGAAAAGAAAGGACTTAGTGGTGGGTAATGAAGCACACAGAACTGTACCCTGAATGCTCTAGTGCAGTGAAGTTCAGCAAGATATTCACCTACATCTGTGCCTTTAGTCTGGTCCACAACAATGGTGTAAACAGGGTCTGCCACAGTCCACTTTCAAAATCATCAGCCCCTTATAAACCCAGTAGCTCTAACCTAATTAATATGGGACCATTTTGATTTCTGAGCTGAAGTTTTACTAGGTCTGCACTATTTGGAAAGGTAAGACAGATGGATTTCCAGCATTTGTCTCCCTTCACAATACGTGCGTGGGCAAAGCGCTCGCTCTTCTGTTGTGCTTTTGGAACATTGTAATATGCTGCTGCAAGGACAGGAAACACTTCTAACATCTCAAGGAGGAACTTCCACAGGAGCAGAAGGTTCCTGGGGAGTCACTATATCCACAGTACTGTTCCAGCTTAAAGTCAGTCAAGGTATCTGTTTCTGCAGCTCCTACTAAAGACCATGCCAAAACCACTAGCTGGAGATCTTTTCATTTTAGCATCAATTATTCATGCACATTCAACCCCACCTTTCCTCATAATAATGTTTTTAAAACGATCTACAGATTTTCTCAGAGTTTAAGACAGACATGAAGTATCAAACCTCCTTTAACTGCAAGATTGCATTATATGCCCTTCATCGTTACTTCAAATGAATGATTGTGCTGCCTTTATAAAGTTCTGTCTCTTTTTAAAGAGCATGTTAATTTTTTTTTCTCAGGTTTGTCATTATTCACTCTCTCCTCCTTGAGGAAGATTCAGGCTAAAGTAAGAGCGTTCCACTTCAAACTGAAGATGTAAAGTCAGTGTGAATCAAATTGCAGTCTTCAGCAAACCTTAAAAATAAAAAGCAATTTTAACACTGAAAAATTAACCACTGCATCAGAAGGATTGATAATTTTAATGTTGCTTTAAAAAGGGACAGAGTGATTTGAATGTCAAGGTAGTTTGGCAAATCTTCAATCAGTAAAATAAACAGTACTGATAGAATTGCTCCTCCTAGGAAGAAAACTGTAAATTCATGTCCAAAGCAGCTGGGCACACACAGTCTTAAGACAACTGCCACAGACACATGTCAAATTTTATGCCTCTGAAAAACACAGCCTATTGATCATGCCAATACACTAACAGGAGTAACAAGTTCAGTCTTCTCTCTAGCCAGGGACTAGAGAAAATCCTTCTCTTTGCATGTATCCCAAGTACAGATGGCATCATGCACCTGAACTTTGTTGTTCTGGGATTGCAGTGTCCCTTTAGAGCAGTTAGAACAGAAGTCACCACCACCGATGGTTACATTGCTGAACAAGGACCAGGCCAGTCCAAGTCTCACTAATAATGCTTGGTGGCTTTTTATTTAACTGAACACTTGAGTTAGCTATTATCTACTAAAAAATGTAAATCCCAGAAAATTTTTGCTTCAACTGGCCTGTTTAGTAGATCTAAATTTTTAAAATCTATTCTTCATTCATCTCAGATCAAAGGGCAAGACTGAAAACTTACATTCTTACAGATAAGCAGTTAAGTTCTTGTAGCCATGGACCACATTTTAACATGTTAGGTGTTAACACAATATACGTTTCTCCTTATCAGACATAAAGCCATGCAAACATTCATTTCATTTTGAGTAAGGTAAGGAGATGCCTTGCAGTGCAGTCTCCTTATCAGGAATGGGGAAGCATTGGCAACAGGTTCTAAAACCACTTACATCCTCATAGGTGTGGCCAGACTGAATTCTTCATGTATTAATCACTCCTTAGTAATTTCTAGGATGGTTATTTATTTCTTGAATGGTAATGCTGGCCCAGAAAGTCCATTGCCTCACTGGCTCAAAATTCACCATGTTTATTTACAGTAACACTGGGTTTCAATCTGAGTGGCAGCACCTTTTCTAGTGAAACAGATCTGGAGAATAAGCTGTGGGACAGCAATAAGTTACAACAGTCCAAAGCATTACCTTCTCTTGGCTTCTTCATATTGAAGGCGTAATCTCACTTTCTCAGCCAGCTGGTTATTGCTGCTGGTAATAAACTGACGACAAAAAAAAAAATATAAAATGAGCAATTTAGTAACCACTCCTCTTTTGATATTTCTTACTGATGATATGACAAAGTTACGCTTGCTCTTGTCAAGCTCATTTACTAGTTAACCCCACCACAGAATAGGAAAATATGGCCTTTGATTAAATTTTTCATTTTGTCAAATACTTAAAAACCCACAAGATTCAAAGGCTCTTTTTGGCCTGGTTTATCAGAAAAAGATTTGCCACATCTGTCTCAGGCTTCTATTTTCATGCACATGCAAATAACTTGCTAATCTTTCTTCTTAAATGCCATTTGCAATCTTTAAATGCTGCTTTGCGTTTTGTTTTGGATAACATCTTTCTTTGGTTGTCACGTCTTAAAGACAAGGGACGGATGTCCCATCGTGTCCAAATGTGAAATTCTTCAGTCACTTGGGTGGCCCTGATGCAAGTGGCTGCAAACATTGAAGTAAAGGTTCACAGGAGAGGCTTCTGTGATGTCCTCTGGGACACACAACGTACTTGCAGCGCTGACTGAGTCCTTGCTGAGGATGGCACCAACTTGAAAGTTATGATCTCGCTGCTCAAGTGGGACTGAAGGCTTACAAGTACTACACATTTGATGGCATCAATATAGCAGCACATATGTTACCATTCTCACTTGTAACACACAAAGCCAAACATACTCCTAAGGGAAGAGTCCTCTTTAGTGCTGAGCCCATACATATCTGCTGAACATTTCTGGTCTAGTAGCATATTGCTCCTCTAAAGAGATAAGGGAATATTTGTATCACAAGAAGCTACACCCGTGGGCAGCTTCCCTTTTATTTCCACCTGGGTGGTTCTAATAGAGACTGTGGGGAAAGAGCTGGCTGCCTTTAGAGATATGTTAACATTACTCAAAAATGAAGGTCACACTGAAGTTTAAACCAGAAGAAGGTATCGTAGATACTTCTCCATGCCTGGAAACTCGTGCTAAGGCAGTACTACAAATAGTTCAGAGGAATGTCTCCACATGCACTTGGTTTCTCACACATTACTCACATTTCCTGACACGTCTGTCTGGGAGCTGACATCCAGGTACTGGCGGGGTAACAAAGGGCTGGAGCTTTCCATGGACACACTGCTGGCCCACAGGTCTGACTGGGATCCTCTGTCATTCACGAAGCTGTCTTTTAACCTGGCTAAGCTCTAAAACCATAAAAAGTCATGAGGTGAGCTCGCTTCTGCTCAAAGCAGCTCAGCAACTCCATAGCTTTAGCCTGAACCACACGATTTAAGATCTGGCCATATTTGGTGTGTGTGCTCAGGCTCCACAAACAGGAGGTCAGGCATGGCTGGAGCATACCTCCCACACCTCCCACAGCATGGAGCAGCCCACAGGCACGAGCACACCAGCCAGCCCCCACACAGGCTCTCTGCTGGAGATGGCAGGCCAAGTGGGCCTCAGTGTTCTCACAGCTGTTCTCCAGGTCTGCTCCGTGACAGCAGCACAGTCACACTGCTTCGCTCTTGACTGATAAACTCGGAGACAATCACTCATCTCCAAGCACATGCTTACTGCTGTCATTTGCTGCCTTTTACTCTTATTTCCAGGATCTAAGGAACAAAAAGGCTGCAGTCCAACAACAATACAAAACTAACTTCTGTTAATGAAAATCTAGATCGTATAGCTGAAATACAAAATACTTAGATTTTTTCTCAGAAATTCCATCTGACAGCAATGACACGACAAAATACTAAAGTCATCCCTTTTCAATACCTGAATGAGGTCTTGTTTTTCCTTCTCCCCTGATGTGATGGCCTTCTTGAGAGCTTTCATTTCACTCAAAATGGCTTGTGCCTCATCAAGTTTGTAGCCACCTTGAGTATCAGACATTTTCATATCAATTCTGTATGGAAATTAAAAAAAATACAGGAAGCTAACATTTCATAAATTCCAGTTTATGTAATCATCCTAGATGTATGCATCTTGACCCTAAGGAAAACACACACCAAAAGTACAACAAAGACAACAGAAGGAACAAAGAACCCCACTCACCACTGACTAAGTTACTCCACTCAGAAGCACATTAAGCTCTAGAACTCTGATTTTAGTCATATTATCTCTTTGACTCCTCCGGGAGGCCAAAGACACACATGAAACCCTCAACCAGTGTGTTTGGGCAGACTGCTGCTAGTTTTTAGTCTAGGTTTGTTCCTAGCCTAGAGAGAGTCAACTTAGCCATCTGTGAGAATTACCTTATTTTCAGTTACGACTTTGAACACCAGGCATAGACCTCACGTGCAAGGATGTATCTGTTTGCACAACCTAATTATGAGCCACCCCATCCTTCCCTCTTCTCGAAGGAATTCTACCACAGTTGCCACCTATATATATAAGATCTTAACCAATGACATTATTTAAAACATGCCAGATGTCTAGACACACAAAGGCAAGTATCTGAAACTTTTCCTCCCCTTCCACTCCACCCCAAATTTTTCCTCGCTGCCCTAAAACAACAGCTCTTCTAATTCCAGAAGCTGCAAACAAAAAATGGGACCCAT